TATTAGAATTATCAGAAACAGGATTCTTAAAAAAAATCATTAAGTTATTTAATTTTGTTATATTTACCGAAAGACGAGCATGGCATCGTCGTCTTGGCATCATTGCTCTGCTCTCAGCCCCTCTAGAAATGCATAGAGTTTGTATCTTGACAAAATTGTTCATGTCATGTAGAAAAAGTATTATTAGTATAGTAATGTCAGATTAAAAGAAAATGGCAGGTTTTCTGAAAAATACTTAAACAATTAGAAATATTTCAATCTACTGACAAGTGAGAAAGGACTCTAAATAAATTAAGTTTATAGGTTTTTATATGCACAGTATTTTTTATTTTTTAATAATGAAAGAATTTTGCTACTAGAGGGGTGGTATTGCACAGTTATATTTTCATTGATAACAAAATTAGGAGATATTAATAAAAGTAAAATACTTAATACCTAAAAGAAACTTTTATCTCATAAATGTTCATATTGATAATATAACTTTTAAGTATATATTCATAACATTGTATTATCAGTGAAAATATAGTAGCAGGCAATCATGCATAGTTTGAGGTAAAAAGAAACTTCATTTTTTAAGAAAAATAATACAAAGCTCTTCCTATTAGAACCTATCTCACTTGTCTAAAAATCTCTAGTTTTCACCAGTTCTATCTGTCATTCTGTCTTATATACCTACCAAACTATCGATGCTTGTTGCTGTATCTCGGCCACAAATCGCTGATACTGCTGTGTCAACACATTTATAATTCGTGTCTGAAAATTGCATTTATTTCAGCACTAATTCAAGCCTTTAGCAAATATTCTAATGTACTCAAATGTTTGTGTTTGTGTTTTATGTAAAAGAATTGGTAGATCATTGTCATACAAACAAAAATTCTAAAATTTTTTAGAGTACTTTATTAAGATTGCTTTAAAGTGTGGCAGTACATACTATACTACACAGATAAAATATAGTATATTTAATTCTGTTTTCTGTGCTATTTGTCAAATGTTATGTGTTTGTCTTCTACTCTAACAATGTGTAAATATCAGAAAAGATTGCTTATATTCGTTTAATTTAAAAATTTTTTCAACTTTACATCTTTTTTTTTTTACCTACATATGCACATAGCCAAGAAAGTATTGGCTCCTGCCTATATTTATTGCTAAAAAAGAAACTAACTTGGAATGGTTCTTCTAATCTGGCCGCGGTAAAAGCACGGGGTGCCATCAGCAGCTGTAATGATGTCAGTCGCATGTGATATGATATAACTAAACAATGTACCCATTATTAACTGTATTCAGGGTACATGGTACTTACTTACCAGTTAGTGGTGCTATGCGAAGATCAGGTGCTATCTTACTCCTGGGGTGTTGGTTGGCTCTGATTGACATATTTGGCTTGATTAATAAAGTTTAACCAGCACACCAAACAAGTTTAGGATGTGTATTTGGGAATTTCCAAAAGTTTTTAGTTTTGTAATGGTTTAGTACACTAGTTATAGAAACTTATTATATTTTGCAATTCTGGTAACTTAATGGTTACATGTGGTGTATAGAAAGATACATAAATCTTTGTCAGAATCCTTTATACACATTCGCACTTGATCAATTAAATCATTTTATTGAAATACAAATTCATTAAAGTATATTATGGTTTTATCATACATATATATACATATATGTGTATATGTATATCATATTTTAAAAAATATATATACATATATTGATGCCATAAGCTTAGCTTATATCATAATGTTTTCATTATTTATTTTTTTGTTTTAATGCATTCGCAAGATTGAAGTAAATTGTCGTAAAGTATAAGTATATTCAAGTAACTGTAGAGTTGATTGATTTTTGAGAGAAATGGTGGATCTCAAAATATGCTTGAGGGTGCATAAATATCAAATTCGAATTCGAGTTAAGTTTAGTGTACATATATCTTTTCCTTTTTGTTCTCTACACATGAGAATCGTAAGCAAGAAAAACTTGAGCATGAACACATGTATATGTATGCGCATACATCTTCTATATAAGATATTTTTTGTGATATTGTGAGATAATTTGGCTCACTTTCATTTCTATCTCATGATATAACTGTATATATGTGAACATGCCTGTGCTTTTTGTCATGCTTGTCTCCAACAATGTGTCATATGTGATTGAAATTCTATTACTGCTTTGAATGGTTATCCTCAGTATTATTTATACTGATATTATTAGTATTAATAATTAGTTAGCTTGCATTACTGGCAGTACTGGTTATTTGTAATGTAAGCATATGTAATTGCTAAAATAAATTTTATAAAAAAAGTAGAAAAATATTTTAAGTAAAAATAATTATGAATGCTTTTTACAAACAAAATTTAACTATACACAGGAATATTTAACATTAAAATTATTAAGTAAACTTAGCAAAAAGAAATTATCCTCAGAAAGGCTATGTCAGAAATATTATTTAATACAGAAGATTGGATTTTAAAAAATAACAAATACATATATTTAAAAAAAATAATTGTTATTTTGGAATAATAAAAAATTCATTATTCATATTAAATAAATAATGTTTGCACAGGAGAAGATTGGATTTTAAAAAATAAAAAATACATCAATTTAAAAAAAATAATTGTTATTTTGGAATAATAAAAAATTCATTATTCATATTAAATAAATAATGTTTGCACAGGCGATATTCACTACTATGATTTTTTTGTGGATTCATTACTTGCTTCTTAATTCTTAGGTCATTAACATGCATTATTAAATATTGAATGCTATAGGCTCATATAGATTGTTAATCTTACTTGTGTATAATTTAGTAAAACAAAAGTTTTGTTATGAAAAAGCGAATGCGTGTGAGCATGCTTTGCACATAAATACAGGATATATTTGATGTTAACATTAGGTATAAGCATCCATAAAGCAAATTTGGAGAACCACCACAATGTGGTAAAGTAATGCCATGAAGCATGATTTTCAGTATCAAAAACAATAATTATATTAATTCATAATTAAATCGTTTTGAATATTTGTTCACTTGTACATTCAACATTAGATTAAAATAACCGTTATTGTTTAATGGTCTCTTTAGTAGTATCTTGTTGTAGATTTATGTAACTTTTGATTGAAAAAGAAAAGATATTGACAAGTTATGTATAAGGGATTTGTGTTTTCTATATGAATTTTAGTTTTCAAATTTCTTGCATCATTGCATTGTTATGAAGTTTAATTTTGAATTATCATTTTAACATTCCATGCGAATGTGTATATACAACGGAAATATATCGATAATAAAATTCTAAATAAATATTTATATTGAATATTATCACGTAAAAAGTGTGCAAAATATAAGAAACTTGTAATATTTATCTTTGTAAATTGATAGAAACATTTCCAATTACATTTCTTGCAATTATTAGTACCTGTAGTGATCTCGTCTGTGCATTCATTTGTAATCATAGTTACACAGGATTATGCAAATACATGTATTTTGGTCGTGAATGTTAAAATGATAGACATGAAGCTTTTTTGAAATTTATATACTTATACATATATACACGTTCAGGAGTTTAATACAATAAGTTGCATAGTATTTTTACTCTCTTCTCAGCAACAGGAGCAAGACCCCACCAATTTGTATATTGCAAACCTGCCACTGAGCTTCAAAGAAAATGATGTTGAGAGTTTACTTGCTCAGTATGGGCAAGTTATTTCAACGCGTATATTACGCGATACTGCTGGACAAAGTAAAGGCGTTGGATTTGCAAGGTTAGCGTTCCTTACATTATTTATTAATATTTGACAAGTATTTGTCAATCACTATTAATTATTATTGCATTAAAAATTATTAATACATAATATAACGTGTATCCTAGAATGGAGTCCAAAGAAAAATGTGAACAGATAATTCAGATGTTTAATGGAAAGGCACTATCAGGGGCTAAAGACCCCCTATTGGTGAAATTCGCTGATGGCGGTAATAAGAAAAAATCATTATACAAAAGTACAATATGGAGAGAAACCGGAGAGGTAATTTATTTCGTTAACAGAAGAAAAGAATAAAACCTAAAGCAGAATTCTAACAATTATGTGCATTTCCACAGAACATGACTTTGAATTACGATACAAGCGGCGTTGGTCAAAACGGGGTTGCAACTACTCACATGCTACCCGCAGCCACTTTAACACAATATAGTCGCCATTATGGCCAAGCTTTACCTGGTTACAGTGTACCAGGAACGCCTTGGGTGACTCCTTATTTGGTGCAGACAGCCCCTCCACACATGCAACAGGTCGACGTGAGTTTTTGTACAAATTTTTCGTTGGTTTTGTTTTCTTTCTCTTTGTATTAGCTATGCTTTATTGTAAACAATATTATTTTTCTAATATTGTAAAACAGTGTTTAATTTTAAAAGTCCAATATAAACTTTCCATTACAGATGATGCCATCAGCTGATCCTAGTAACCCACAGTACAGTATGATTCCTCAGCTTACTACACAAATGTCTACATTACATCTTGGCACTGGTTCCGTGAGTATCGCAATTTATTTCATCTTCTTTTTTTTTTTAAATATGCACCAAATTATAATTGTAGTTCATGATGCAATCAAATATTTCATTTTTCAGTACATAGCAGCAAGCCCGCATCCCTATCCTTATACTACTTACCCTCCTAGCATTATTCATACCATGCCATTGGGTGATTCTGAACAAACAAGTAACGCGGCATCTCCTGATGACTCCTATCAACAATACCAAGCTCAGCAGCCCAAGTAGGCTACGGTTTTTAGGTATATGCAGTATTTTTTAATGATTTACTGCTTTAGATGCAAACAGGAGTTTGTTCATGAAGCTAAACTTTCCTCTTTTGTTTAATATTTTAGATATGATTACACCGAGGGTTATGTAAGTTAGGAGAGCCACACCTGTTGATACGAAGGATTATATTAATGAAGAATAGATGAGACTAAATACATTACATAAAGTCAGATAAGATTCTTCCTCATGATAATTGACTTGCCAGCCATCTTTTATACATTTTATCCATCAGATAAATAGGTGAAAGTAGTTAATATTTTCCAACGATTAGAGAATGAATGTTGTCATAAGAAGGGGTACGAGTGCTCGTGTCATCTACATTGTTCGGCACCAGCACGGCTCCATACGCTGTAACGCCAACACATCATTACGACAGTGACAAAACTGATATTCTGCGACGGACAGTTTAGTGTCAAGCTGATAGGCTTCCAGGATTAACTTTAGGTATTACATTTACTAAGGAGACGATAAGTCGAAGCTGAACGCTTGAGAGTGTGAATAAATATTTTAACAAAAACTGTAAACTATAAAAGAAACGCTGCTCAGAAATATACAAAGGAGAATTCTTCCCAAGAAATAATAATAATAATAATATACAGAGAAAAAAAAAGCACTTCCAATGCTAGAGTTGATAAAAAAAAAACATTCAGATTCAGTTAATTGTAATCAGTACCTACCGGACTCGTGCCAGCTGGCTGGCCGGTGGCTGGGCTGCGAAGAGAAGAGACATCGATCAGTGTTTTTTTTAACGAAGATGCTGAAAAAAGAACTCTTCCTTAACAGCGCACACCACCCCATCCGCTAACTGCACTCTCATCACATTATTTCTTTTTGTTTTCTTCTGTTTCGTTCAGACATTCCAAGCCAGGCACATATATTGTATGTATGTATTGCCACGCGGAGATTTTTATCTACTTTTACAAGTACAGTTCACGTTCTCTTTTTAATCACGGACGAATATATTTTATGGACGAAAAAGAAGCGAAGATTTTAAGAGAGAGAGAGAGAGCGAGAGAGAGAAAAAAAGTGAAGCTTTATTTCTAAAAGAAAAAAAAACTTCAGGATATATGTAATTATTGTAACAAGAAGGAAAGGAACATAGTACTTTTTAGAGGATTTATATTTATGAGTACAGTTACTACGAATCGATATCAGTTTTAATTGTACAGTGAATACAGATATTTTTTTTAGAATTGTGCCTTTTCAGACAAATCCGCTAGACAGGGATATGCTGAAAAATATTATAATATATTTTTACGTCGGTATGTAAATGCGAAACTTGAGCCAAATTTTGATCTTCTAGTTAAGAGAATATAATTGTTTTTGCGTTGTAGCCAGTTAAATATCACTGCGTTTGTTTTTTGGTTACGAATTCGAATAGATTTTGTATGTGTATAGTTGCCACTAACGGGATTGACGGGCCGGAAACATCTGTACGGCCCGTGCGGAGTCTAGGAACAAAAAAGAAATCAAACGGCGGATCAATTGTAAACCGAGAATAATTCACACCGCCCGAGAAAAAAAAATTGAGAGAGAGAGAGAGAGAGAGAGACAGAGAGTAGGCTTGTTACAACGGGATACGATAGATAGAGTGTAAATTAATTTATTATATCGAACGAACGAATAAAAACGCGTTGCAAATGAAAACGAAAAAAAAAAAAGGTAATGGGACTGGAGGAGAACGATAGGCGAGAGGATCGAACGCGAGGAAACAAAAAGAAAACGTAATAAAAAAAATAAAAAAAGGGAAAGATATAAGTCGAGGATTTTCTATCTACGCGATATCTCGAGAGAGAAAAGAAGAAGAAGAAGAAGAAGAAGAAACAACAAAAGATAAAACAAAATAATAAACACCCTCCTCTCCTGCGTTCCTCTAAGCCCGTTTTTACATCCGGCACAGTTTTCACGTTGTCTGACTTAGATCGAGTCGAGGAACGATTAGCAGAAAGCTTTCTACCAAATATTGCGAGCTCCGGGCTCGAAGTGGCGGGCAGGTAGTTAGATAGAGTTAGAGGCGATCGTAGCTATTATTATAATATTACAATAATATGCTGTATTATTATAATTAACGATTACTATTATTGACGTCATCTAAAGTATGAAAGATTTTTACACTGTTGAGACTTGAAGTAAATAATATATTTAGTTTATTTTGGTACATCACGATTTGATGACAAGAGATAAAAGATGAAAAAAGTGGTATGAGCTATTTTTTAAGAGACCGATTATTACTCGATTTGAGTCCATGCATTAAGGGAGAAAAAAAAATAAGAGAGCGAGAGAACGAAAGAAAGAAAGAGGCGAAAGGGAGAACCTATTTGCGAGTGTGTAAATTGTTGCACAAGCGATTGTCACCACGACTGACAACAAAAATCACATGTGATTAAATAGTGAATTTTGAAGAATTTTACTAATAGACTTGTACTAAATAACTAATTATTATTGTGACGACCAAAACAAAGAGCAGCATTTTTATAGTGCTGACCGAGCGGAAGAACGATGGTTCGGCCGACAAAACGCCAGCTCCCGCAGATACGGAGCCGCACTGGAGAGCGGGCAGAGAGGAGAGAAAGAGAGAGAGGAAGATCGGAATGCAAGGGACAATGAGCGAGAGAAACATGGAATAAAGATGGAAGGCGAATGAAAGTGCATAGAGCGAGAGATAATAAGAAGAAAACGTATGTTTGAAAAAGAGGATAATGTTGAATGGCGATGGAGAGAGATAGAAATTAGAACGTAAGAGAGAAAAAGAGAGGGAGAGTGAACGAGATGGAGAGAAAGGAAGAGAATGAAAGTGAGAGATAACAAGAGCGAGTGCAACGTAACCTATATTGTATAGAACTGCGATGAAAAAAAAAAGAGGACACTGCGAGATGTTGTGTAGTTAGTGTTGACTATGAATATATAGGCTAGGCACCACTTTGGATAGGAAGTAATCGATTAAGTGATTAAGTTTAGGTAGATAGTTAGCTGATAGTTAGGATATATATATTATATATATATACAACTGCCTCTCCTTGTTAAAAGAAAAAAAAAAGAAGAAGAAAAGAAAACACATCAGGCGAGGCACCGTTCAGCCTATGCACCTCGCACCCGTCAAGACTGACTGGCTATTCATATTAATAATAAATATATATTATTCTACAACATATTATCTACTGTAATATAAATAGTAAGGACTGCTTGCTGCGCACCGCGGGTCGGGTGCTTGGGCTGGCCGGGCGTGATTTACGAAAAAGAAAATCAATCTCTTTTTTGGAACATAACGTTTCCAAGCAACGCTGCTTTCCGTAAGCTTTCTCTAGAATTTCTAGCGTAGCCTCTTTTTAGATTAGATCACAACTAGTAGTCGTAGGCTGATGATGTAGAAAGATGAGAATAAAAAGGAAAAAAATGTAGGGTGTTTTTAAGTAACGAAACAGAAAAAAAACGTAACGTAATGTTAGTCGAACGTCGGCTTAAGCGAAAAAAAAAAATGATAAGATGAAGAAAAGCGAGTCCGAGTTGACTTTGATGATGCCCCGATGCGATGCCATGCGTCATCGTACTTCGACTTGTACAGTCCTTAGGTTCACCGAGGTTTGAAGTCATTGTTTTACATTGTTAAGCGAGATAGGTTTTTAGCTATAACGAGAGAGAGACGAACACTTTTTTTTCCCATTCACCCTACCCTCTGTGCTGTTCCTTTTGCCAACTTCGACTCTCCTCGTTTTTCTCCTGCGATCTGTTCAACAAATTTTCTTTCCCATCCCCGCTCCCCGGTTTTTATTACTGCACGTGTTTTATTCTTGCTCATCGTGTTCTTCGTCGCGTTCGAATCTCCTTTGCGCCACGAGACACTAGACGAGAAAACGACACATGTAATTCTTCAAAAGCAGAAAAGAAAGAGAAGAAAAATATCACCATTGCCGTTTGCTTAATTTTGTTTGTTTCTTCTCTCTAACGATATAATTAATTGTTATGCGGTGTGCGATCAATGAGAACAGATGAAAATAAGAATTTCGTAAATCAGAAAGGAAAAGAGAAATGGAGTGAGTGAGTAAAAAAAATGGAAAGAAAGATAGAGAGTGAGAGGGGGGATAAAAAGAAAGAAGAAATGATGTTGAGGCATTAAGTTAGGCACTTCGCATCCGTAAACGAGGATTAAGATTGAAAGGAGAAAAAGAAAAAAAAAAGGAACACATTAGGTTCTCGGATACTTTTTAAGATGGCGAGGCATAGCACGTAATGAAATTCTTAGATTAAGGCAAGTGTGTCATAGCTAGTTAAGAAATAGGGACTCTTAGAAGTCGATAGGTGCTGTAATAAAAAAAAACTGATGAAAAAAGAGGTAACAACAACAGCAAGAACAACAACAAAGTTTAACAACGGTCAGAATTAGATTTTTCATGAAACTCGAATAAGAACACAGGGCATACGCCACTAAAAGTGCCCTTAGTTTATTTTGGATCGTTTAAAAACGCTAGTCTTTGTGTGAGATAATGTGGGGGTTATAGATAGGGTCTTCTAAAAAAGAAAAAATACGAAAAAAAGAAGAGAAAAACGAAAAAACGCAAACAGAAAACAAAAGAGAGAAAGAGAGAGAGAGAGAGAGAGAGTGAAAAAGACAGAGCGTGAGAGAACATGAGATATAAAGTAGTGAATACAACAAACGTGTGAGATGCGCGAAAGCGAGCGAGAGAGAGAGAGAGAAAGTGCGAGACGAGCATGTGGTGTGTAGGTTGTATGCATAATTTATAATGCGTACTTTAAAAAAAAAAAAAAAGAAAAACCATCTGCCTATTACACGACACAGACTGCAGAGACACACTGTTACTGTAAACTGCACACTGCGTGTGCACGCTCTGAACGTCACACACTTCTTACACTTTGTATGGGGAGCGTGCACCGAACAGTTTTTAGAGTTACTTACAAGTATGGTTTGGTATATTCAAAGTGAAAGAATCAAATTCTTAATTATTATCATCCCTTATTTTTGATCAATAAACGATCTGTTTTGGGGATTTATTCGAATAATTTTCTTTTCCTTTCTTTCCTGAGTTTTCTCTAATGGCAGGCCAGTTGAAATGTTTTCAACAAAAACAGAGAGAAAGAGAGTGAATCCCCAAATTGTGATTGATTTTTCTTCATGCATAGATCTGCTTTTTTTATTGTGCTTCTCTTTCGTCTCGATTGGATTTCTTTGAATTTCATAGAGATCTGTAGGAAATTTGTTGTTCATTTTCGTTTCTCATTTTCCTTTGTTGTGTTGAAGGGTGAATAAACATCTCTGCGAGGAACGAACAAATGAAATGTAAAGTCTGTAAAATAAACTTACTCTCGTACAAAATCAGTGACTATATTTACACATATTCCAACACTTTCAAAAAGAGAAAAAAACATGCCTTCTATCGAATCAAGTAGCGACTATTGTATATACCTTTTTCAACGTTGGAAGTAATGCCCTAAAACCATTTTTTGGTATTCTCTAGGACTGAAAGAGAGAGAGCTTAACGAATTAAAAAACAAAAACAAAAAGAAGACAAACCAAAAAAGAAACAAGAAATATACCATGTTCTTCTCCACTGAGCATTGGTGAACGAAATTATACTATTTACTAATGTGTAGTAGTACAGCATGTGCAATAGACTGAAACAAGAACATTTGTCCTTTGTAAGTAATGTTAAAACAATAAGCCCCCCACATTATCCCAACTAATTGTGTAATACATCCAGCGTCCGCCTCTATATTAATCGATGGTAGAATTGTTTCTTGCGAGGTAACAAGACCACAGAGAATTAACATGCCATATTCGATTGTGGCAATACGGTAGAACGTAACGAGTCCTTTTCTTAGTACTTTTCACACCTTATGCTGATACGATTTGTACTACTTTGAGTAAACGCTTTTAATTTGTGCGCAATAAAGATGATTCGAAATTCTTAAACATGAAAAAGAGAAGAACAAAAAGTTGAACCGAGGTGCTGGCAATGTATGAGAACGATTACTAGATCTCCTCTTTTGTCAATTAAGTGGTGGTTTTATAATGATGTAATATACGAGGGTAAAATTAAAAAGAAAAAAAAAATGAAAAGCGATAAATCGCAAAAGAACTCATTGAAATAAAAGTGCGAATTTTGATTTGATGCTGAGAGCTTTTCCTTAGGCCATGAAATACTTTCTCACTTAGGATCGTATTTATCCTTTGATTTCGCAGATGTGTTTATTTGTACGAAAATACTTATAATTGTTTTATATACATCGTCTCGAAGTGCATTCACATTGTTTATTTCGAGTTACGTTGTTGCAGTTAAGAGTTCAATCATTTGTTTTCGATTATTTTTACAGTGAGTACATGATTTCGTGATTCAGTACGTTTCACGATGGCGATATATTGAATTCTCTACTTCATTTAGACGATTACATTGTTTGATTTAGAATATAATAAATATTAAAATGATAAAAAAAAAGAAGCTTATTCTTATTAATTTGCACTATACACGAGGTTTCTTTTTTCTATTATATGTAAAAGTTAAAAGACATTGATTTATTATTAACGAACAACGTGTTTCGATTTAAATATTCTTACAGTGTTATCTGCACCTCCGGACACCATAAATTTGGGATTCGACCAATTGCAACATAATACTTTATCTTCATGTCCAGAAAGGTCAAATAATGGTGCTTTAGGACTGCAAAAAGAATAATTTTTTTTTTTTAATAATATACATAGTATTGTAAAATTTTATAAATGAACATTATGAAATTAGAGATTTGTGTACCTTCTGGTATCCCAAAGTTTCATATCATTGTCATATGCTCCTGAAATAAAAAGATTTTCGTCCAGTGGTGACCACTTTACAGATTGCACCCATTGTGTATGAGATGTGAACGTTGCTTTTACAAGTGTCCCTTCTAAAAATTAAATATAATTTTAATGAAACTTATAGCGATTATAAATTTTAAAAGAGAAATTCTAATTGAGACCTGTAGATCTTGGGTCATATAATCTAACGTGTCTATCGGCAGAAGCTGTTACAATAGCACGGTTTAACGGAGAATAGTCGAGGTCAAAGAAACTTTTGTTTCCTGAAAGTTCATGTTTAATTCCTCCTAATTCTGTATCCCATATTTTCAATGTGTGATCCCATGAGGATGTTATAACTTCTGCTTTATCTGACCATACTACACCACTAATAGCTTCTCTATGACCTTTCATTGTTCTTTTGGGTACCTTTATAATATAAAATATAATTATTTTCAGTTGAAAAACCTTTTATCTGTAATTATTTATTTTATTTACCTTTGTTTTACTATGTTCTGATTTTAATTTTTTTGAAGTGGATTCACCATCTTCATTTTCATCTTCATTAGCTAAAAATAGAAATAAAAGTAAAACATTATGTGTAATAAAGGTATTTTTTTTATCATGTAAAATACTTACATGTTGACCAAACTTTAAGCAATGTATCCCATGCTCCAGTTGCCATCATTGTTTTTTCCTTACTAACACTAACAGCATCAAGTCCACGTTCATGTCCTCTGCATACATGAATACAGTCTACAGAATTTTCTGTAATATTCCAGTCCCATATTATAGCAGTTTGATCCTGGGATGCACTGTAAATTGTAAAAAGAATATAAGAGTCATGTAAAAGCATTTTATGCTAATTTTTGTGATTTTAGACCATGCCTAACAAAACTAGCTGCATTATTAGCCAAGAATATCCATGCTACTGCTTTAATGGGTGAAGTATGTCCAGGAATTACAAGATGATGTTTTCCTTTAGATGTCCATATATGTAATGTATTATCATAGCAGCCAGTTAATATCCTGTTAAATATATCTCTTAATAAAAAGTAACAATTTTTTAAATATGTTATACAACTGCTAAATAAACAGCATAAAAAATAACCATTTCTCGCAAACAGCAACAGCAGATACCCAATCATCATGTATAAGACAGTCCTGAGGTTCTGGTGGTGGATACTTTTCAACATATTCAACAACTATCACCTCTTCTGTAGAAATATTCTTTTCTGCTATGTGCTCAGCCAATGAAGTACGTAAAAATTGTGAGCACACCAAGAAATCAAATTCTATGTCATTTTTTATATCAGTTGATTCTACAATAAAAATAAATTATTTTCTAAATACATGTAATTTAATAAAATTTACTATTTTATAAACAAATAACACCACACCCTTTAAAAGCTCATTTACAAGAGTATTTAATTCATTTGCTGCAATAGATGTGTGTACAGATAATGGAAAATCTGGAACAGCATATCTAAAATATGAAAAATTTATTTATCATATATGTTACGATTGCTAACATAATTTAATTATAATAAACTATATGAAATATACATACAATATCATATCCACATAATAAAATAGATTAACCTCATAATGCGTCGTACGAAAAAGCATCGAAGTGAATACTTACTGTTCCTGCTTAGTAACAAATCTTATTTGCACTTGTGGAGCACTATTATTCACACTTGTACTCGCCATCGTACTTTTCGTACTGATCGCACTTTATTTATATTTATTATATAAATTGTAAACTAAGGAAATTACACGTGTATGCTACATTTTAAACTAGCTTCTATCGACGTGAATGATCGATTACTCGAAACGTTTACGAATCGATTTATTTTACAATCGATATTCTCCTATCGATTATCGTCTATTACATTGTTGAAATATTAAATTTTTTATAAAGGTTTATTCTTTTATTCTTTGCGTATATATTTTATGAAACTCGAAACATATTTGCAAACTAAAAATTTCCGTGTGTCTTTAATTGTGGGTACACTAGAAAATCCAACAGCAGCCTTTAGAACGGTAAGTATAACCTAAAGCAAAATAATATCTTTCAATTAACAAGTAACAATTTAGTAAATATATTTCAAAGTGTTCTCTTGTAAAAAAGTGAATTAAATAAAATACTTGTATAATTTTATACTTATCAAACCATTAAGTATTTTACATTGTTAAATACTGTAATGTTTTAATAATACAAATTCATAAAATTGGATAAAGCAACTAAATGTAAGTGTAAATGATATTTCATAAACTAACGTGGAACATATAGTTAATTAATTTGTCGACAATAAATTTAATACATAAAAGAAATAAAATAATGAGTGCAACATATAATTAAAATTGATAAACGATTAGTGGAAAGAAAGTTAAGCGTTGAAACGTTAAAGCGAATAAATTGTCTGATACATCACGGACTATTCCACTTCCGTCTCTGTCTCATAGGTGAAAGAAGAAGATGGAAGGCGAGACTTATTACCTCTGGGCTCAGTTTCCCTGCAACAAGTGTTCCTAATCGATACTTCGATGAAATTACAAGAATCCACTCCCGTGACAAATAACAGAAATATAATGTTGCTTATATAATTCCAAGTATGTTATTTGAAACTTTCTTCGTCGTTAAAAATCGTTGTCAAAAGATTACTTTGACAATTGACATCTGTTAATAATATTTATTACACTTGTACAAAATCATCGAAGAACTTATTTTGGTCCTGAATTTTTTAAAATATAATAATTTCGGATTTCGTAATTATTACAAAAATAAAAATTTATCTCCATAAATTTACCATTACATGTAACAATTATTACATTGATTATAGATTACAAAATTCTTAAAAAATTCGTTTAACTACGATCAATACAAAGAAGGACAGACAATAAATACTACAAGAGAAACGTTAAATAGTTAAAAATTTACACTTACGCTAAAAAAATCTTCATCGTATTTGATCCCGTGATTAATATGGTTACCTTAACCAGTATTTATCGTTTTCAGTTCAGCCTGAGACAAATTACATGGAAGAAACCGTGCGCTCAGTTATTTTAAGGGTGAAACGTAATTTCGTGAACAACAGGTGCTCAGTGTGAAAGGAGGAGAACGCGAGAGAGAGACAAGGAGGAAAATGCGCAGGCGTTTGCTAGCTCACTAACACTCTACGCAATTTGACATTATTTAGAGAAAAAAAATCTTTTTAAATTGGAACTTCGCTGAAAGCTCTTGAGCCTTTAAAGATAGGGTGTGTAGTAATATTGGTCTGTTGATAGCGGGTTGCACGAGAGGCTGTGCGTGTTTCTCTATTATGCTAGGTGGTGTTACTTCTTTCCCTCTCCTCTTCTTTCTTGTTCCCTTCTAGCGATGGGAACGACCTTATGCTCGTGAGCCACGTCAAAAAGAAATTTTACTTCTGCAAATTCTGAAATACTCTCACGTACATGTATTCAAGTTACACGTTTCAACGTGAATACTATCTGCTTTTGATAAGCTTTTCAAAGCACAATTATGTTTGCGTGACAATGACGCAGATTGTATCAAAAGTCCAGTTACTTTAAAGCTTTACTCTCTACACTGAACGATTCATGATCACCCTTTAGATAACACAATTTGAATCAAATTTATTTTTCAATGAAAAGGACGCACTACTGCTCATAATTATCTGTTCTTTATCTCTGTAAGTAACTTCATTTAATCAACTTCCAAGGAAGGCTTCAACTTACTTTGTAATCCTTATTTAAAAAAAAATTTATCAGATCTTTAAATAAAGAGAAGTAAATGGATAAATACTTATAAGAAGTAGTGTACATATAAATAACACCACTTATAATATAATATCAGCATATTGATAGCATTATTTTCACAGTACTTATTACAAACAATTCCATGTACTTTACAATACCTATTATTCTATATAATATTCTCTCTGTCTCTCTCTCCTACAAATTTACTATCATCATACCACCTGTTACAGTGTACAAAGCTAAACAAAGCTAATACCCAAACTACAAACTTTGCCTGGTTGATTTTGAACAATTTGCACCAGAAAATTTTCCCAATCAGTTTCAACAGTCTAATGTGGCAATCTATATTTCAGCGAGCAGACGTTGTCGGGGAAACTGTCGTTTTCAAGGTCCAGGTATCACGAGGGTATTGGTCCCATCACTATTCACATCCTTGGTCGCCTGGCAGCCGGCATGTGCGCGTTGCAATCGATTCCGTGGCTAACGCATGCCCTGCTGCTCGTTCGCCGTGGAAGAGTACTCAGTCGTTGGCACTGCTGCGGCACAACAGGACGCGTACAGAGGGAGATGGTCTAGAGGTGACGTTTTCCATCTTATAAAACGTGTACACGTAACGTTCGTTAAATCTCGTTCTACACGCACGGTACCATAAAACTGGGTTGAAGGATCAGCAGGCAGGATGTACTGAAATTTAGAGGAACGAGCAGGTGTCACGCCCAGGTAAGCCGACGACAAGGCACACGCGTATCTGTCGCGCCACGCAGGTTCGCAGGAGGGGGAGGGAACGTGACTACAACCTGATGCTTCGACTGTTCTAACTGGACGTGCTGCTTGATGCAGAATCCTGCGATCTTGCGTGGAAAATTAGACGAGATGTACTACTTGCTTTCTCTAACTTAATTCAATTTGAGAGCTCAAGTTAAGACGTGTAACGTATGAGATTTTTAATATGCTCTTTCGACGTTCCATGTTTGACTGAAGAAGCACACAGAGGTAGGATAGATAACATGTTAGATCAAGGGCGAAAGCGGTTGTTGAAAAAGAGATAACAATGAATAGCTGTTTTTGTTTTTAATTTAATTGTAGGTACCGTGATAGCGATTGGAGTAATTACTTGGGGGTAGGAACGTTGATCGAGAATAAGTTCCAGATTGTTGCGCTTCGCTAAAGCTGTTTTCCGATAACAGTACGCTAATTTGTTTTGTCGTTCGATTGTAGGGCTATACATTGTGATTGCGTAAACGTGTTCGTTACGCCAAGGTGTACCGCGCCCTTTGTACGAAGCGGTTCGTGTCACGCGTTCCCTGGACAGTTGATTAAATTAATTTACCGGTTTTTTTTTTAAAGGATCACGATGTACTTCAGTGTTAAGCTTGATTGTAGGTTTGACGCGCTTGGGAGAACATTTTCATGCAAGGGGGTTGGTTAACTTCATTATTCCAACAAGTTGCCGAGAAGCGTAGCCCAAACAGCTTGCACACTTTTGCATGGTGTGATGTATATTATAGATCATTTTCACTGAGGAAATTTTAATCTTGAAAGTGAACACTTTGTCACTGCATGTTAGAACAGTTTTTAACGCTAATGCTTTTTTAGCAATATCATTTTATATTTACTTATATGGGGAAACACCTGGAGTATATTGAAGTAATATTTTTGTAAATTCTAAAATAATATTTTTGTAAATTTTTCAATTTTTCAAACGGTTCTGAATAATTCTAGCTATCGGTAGAACAAGTCAACCAGAAGGAGGACAAATGTGTAGATACTAATGCAACAGATAATTAAAGGAAAACATAGTTACACTCTATATATAGAATTCAATCTTTTAAACATTCTCTCCTCCTGCTTGATCTCATTAAAAATGTACCTCCACGTTCTCTTCCTAATCGAGGGAGGTATCGGTAAGCCGAGTTTAATGAAACTAGCGGTGATCTTCAAGAAAACAATTTTTCACAATCCTCGTGTACTACGTTATTCCAATTCATCTTCATTTCCTTTCAAGCTGCCCTTGTACTCTCCTCCGTTCAAGAAAAGGGTATCGTGCTACGGTAGGAGTTGAGATTAGTTTAAAAAAAAAAAAAAAAAAAAAAAGACTTATAGTATACATATTTATGTTTGTTCGGTTGATAGAAGAGAAACTAAATTAGACGTGCAATTATAGGAACATCTATGGGCCGTAAACGGTGGTGGCGTGGAGGCTCGGAGCTGATGCTGCTCTTCATCCTCCATCACGTTATTCTTGGTGACGGCGATGTCGGTGAGTGCCATAGATTTATGATTATTCCACCAATCGAGATAAAGGAGTTTTCCTTTGGAGGAGAGACTGAACAACCGGAGAATCGTTTCATGGATCGTCGAATGCCTTTCAGAATCAAGAATAAGCGACGCTTCTTTCCATGGGGGAACTTTTAATGGCACTTGTGACAGAGAGCTGCCTGGAGAATTTTGTTGAGAGAATGATGGATGTTTTTTGACATTCAATTTTCATAAAAGATCTATAAATAAAAAAAAAACACTTTTGTTACAACGACGGATATTAATTGATATCTTTTTAAATTCATCCTATTTTCGTGTACATCGTTGAAAAAACCTAATCCAGGTATCTCTCTATGGTATAAAATAAAATTTCCCCTGCGAATTTATCAAGTATTAGCAATTTGAATACGGATATCGCGTTTGACGCCGAGATAGTACATTTATTCGCAACACGTTCAACGGTAGAGTACATACATATAACAATTTCAAGTCTATTTTTCCTCCTAAACAAAGTCCTATTTACAAATCACAAACGAATGAAAATTTGTCGCTACAAATGCACGCATATCCGCCGAATAATACGTGCTACAATTAAATGCACGTTTAATTGAAATCCAATTGGAGAGAAAGAAACGTTTTCCGATCTCGTAAAAAAAAAAAAAAAAAAAAAAAAAAAAAGAAAGAAGAAAAATCCAAGCACTTTACAAATTACGAGATCAGAGAAGGGTGTTATTTCATCTCTGAAAATTCCATCTCATTTTAATCGTACTGAATGGTTAGCGCCATTTTAGCAGTCCTCCAGTATGCGCCAGATTTTCTCTCTCTATTATGCTAAAAAATTAATAAGATCGTTAAGAAGGTCAGGACAGCTCGATATTAAAGCGCAGCCGTGAAAGCTGCGAGTGGCAAACGGGAATAAATGAAATTCTTGATTTCATACCTCACGGTCACCTTGATTTAAAGAAAAAAATGACACGAGAAATGCGTGCTTTTATTTCCAGCATGTGTGATCGATAGTCTCATGAAGATTTCATTTTTCCTGTCAGCCTCTGTGTTCTCCTCCTCCTCCTCCTTCTTCTTCTTCCTTCGTCGGTGATGAAAAACATTTCTACTGATGATGGATACTTCTCAGAAGCTTATTCAACGCCATATGGGAATAGAAGCGGTGTTTCAATGTTCGATCCAGATGTCCATACTCTGTTGGAATATTCTTTTAACGAAGTGAATTTCTCGAACAATACGTAACGTTCTATTTAAAAGAGAACGAAATTCAAAATATTTTCTTCCTTCTACTTTAACGCGCTACTTATTCCAGTTGCATATACGCTTTTGTATACCTAATACCTGCGTGTAAAACGTAATTATCGATCAGGCGACAAACGTGACAGATTTTCTATTCGGAATATTCTCCACGATTTTTCTCTGTTCGAAGGAAATTCAAAGGGGAGGGAAAAAATATTGGAGAATTGACGTTGAAATATTCCAAGTGCTTGGTTAATTTCATAACGACAATATTTCGCGATTATTTAAGATATTGCTGATTCTATTGGATCATTGATTTTCTTCTTTTTTATTGAAATTAGAAAAATCTTTCTCAGGAAGCAAACGTTTCGTATTTATAATATAGCAGTTGTTACGGTATAACGAAGCAGCCACAACAATTCCTCGATCTTAAAGTAATACCAACAATTCACTCGGCTCTTTCATCATTGGTAGAAAGGAGCGATTATGGCAGAAAGGCTTGAGAAAGTTTTTGCATCCGTTCGAACTTCTTTTACGATGGAACTCTCGTGAAGAAATTGAATTTACCGACAGAGAGGTTCATTTAAACATTTCAATATTGTTCCTGACTTACGTCGCTCTCTATCGAGGGAAAGACCTTCGGAATAAGAACGAGAATAGATCTTTGAAACATTCGTCGAATGATCCCAGGAAAATAAACAATTTAAAGGGAAAAATAACGAGCATTGTACTTTATACACCGTCGGTACGCTAAAAATGGAACTGAATGGATCGAGAAATGAGAATTACAGTGAAAACATTATTTCACGATAATGCGCGTAGTATATTATTCAAAAATGTTTCGTGTGTTCTTCGTTGACGAAGAAACATTTGCTGTTCTTAATGCGAATTGAATATTAAAAACACTTTCGTTATTGAACTCATATTAAAAGTGTAAAAAAAATCGATTAGAGGAAATAATTATTGTAAATAAAGAAGACTATCTAAAAAGAAAACTAAACGAGTGTTTCACATGAAACATCTTCCATTAAGGAAGAGAAAGTAAAAGAAAAAAGGATTGAAAGTGAAAGATGTAGCTTTCATATTTGTTAAAAATGTAAAAAATTAATTAGAGTGAATAATTATAATAAACAAAAAGTTCTATGCAAAAAGAAACACCGAAGAACTTCCATTAAAGAGAAAGTTAAGAAGAGAAGAGGAGAGGAGAGGAGAAAGTTAAAAAAGAAGTAAAAATAAAGCTTCTGCATCTGTAAGAAGATTGATTTGAGTAAATAATTACAACGAACAAAAGATTCCACGTAAAAAGAAGGTTAAATGAGTGCTTCACGTCGAACAGTTTCCATTAAAAAGGAGAAAATAAGAGAAAAAAAGAAGCAGAACAAGGTTAAAAATAGAAGACGTAACTACTAAAAGTCTCCCGTTTATGGGAAACGAGAGGGAAAAAGGAGTGAAATCACCAGGAGAATTTCTACTGTTGACCGGGCAATCGTTTCCTCGATATCTCTCTTTCTCCCTTTTCTATCGTGTGTTCACCGAGAATTCCAAGTTCCCATCGATTTCCTATCTCTCCCTCCTCTCCCTGTCTTCGACACATTTCAACAACGTCGACCAGTTATCCGCACCTGAATATTTGATCGACACAAGACACGCATCCTTATTATCACGGGCCACCTTGAAAATTCGTTGCTCCTCCGAAGGGGTGGGACGAGTGTGGATGAAAAAAAAAGGAAAAAGGAGGCGGCAGAAACGC